GGTGGTGATGGTGGTGGAGCGGTGGGGGTGATGGTGGTAGAAATAGTGGTGGAGGAGTTCTAAACATTATTTTTTTTAAAAAATACTTATAAGAAATAATTCCTAACAAACACACCATTAAAGGTTTATTTTTCTTAGAGTAATGGTAGATGAAATTAAAAATTAGATTTAAAAATTAGACTTGATAATCTTAATCATTGAATAGGTAATGCGTCCTAATAAATACTGAGACTTATAATGAAATTAATAGTTGAGATTATCAAGTCTAATTTTTAAGTCTATTTTTTAAATTCATGTAACATTGCTATTTTTCTTATTAAATTTAAGGTTTTAATATTAGCCGTCAGATTAATTTTAAAATAAAATTAAAAAAAAATTCAACTGCGAATAACAAAAATTATTTTATTTATCTTTTAAAATTTGAATTGTATGTACTTTATTATATATATATATATAAGAAATAGTTAGAAGAAAACAATACATGATTAAAACTATGTTTGTAGGAGAATGAAGACCAGCCCACATATGGTGAATGCTGCTACATTCCCTGATCCTGATCTAGGTTCGATTTTTACCAGTCGCATATTGTATGGACACCCCTTCTCCCTTTCCTAGGTTTGACTTGGGTTTGATTCTTACCACCAGACATATATAGCGGCACCGTCCCCGAAGATATAAGAATAATAGTTATAAATGCGTTTTGTAAATTTAGAATAATGGTTCTTACATAGTTNTTAAAAGCTAAGATTACACATATCTCAAGGGTTTACTTTGGAGATTTGATGATGTTAAACAAACTATAAAACATATATAATAAAATGGCACTATCAGAGGGCATCCACATCAGTTTCCCCTAGCGCTTGTCGGCCACTTGTCGCTATTTCTCACTTTTTTTACAAAGTACATCTCTAATCAACACGTTATTTTGGGAATTATTCTGATGGTATTTTAGGGTTTTTTTTTTACTTTTTGAACAGGCAAGAACTTCAATAAATCAGGAGAGAGAGAGAAAGAGANCTATTTTCATTCACAAAATTGTGAAAATCAATTAGAGAAAAATCTATGGATGCGATCAGCTATGGAACTTAAGCATTTTTAAAATGCATNTAACTTTTTGAACAGGCAAGAACTTCAATAAATCAGGAGAGAGAGAGAAAGAGAGTGAGAGAGTTGAAGCTCGAATCCCGATCCAGAGCTGGAAAGCTAGAGAAAACTTCCTGATTTTGACAACATTGTAATTTGGCGCAANTTACTTTTTGAACAGGCAAGAACTTCAATAAATCAGGAGAGAGAGAGAAAGAGAGTGAGAGAGTTGAAGCTCGAATCCCGATCCCGAGCTGGAAAGCTAGAGAAAACTTCCTGATTTTGACAACATTGTAATTTGGCGCAAAGATACTTCAATATGAAAAAAAAAAGGGAAATTCCCTTTTTTTTCCCCTAAAAGAAACAAAGATTCTCAATTTGTTCCTAAATGACNTCCCTTCTCCCTTTCCTAGGTTTGACTTGGGTTTGATTCTTACCACCAGACATATATAGCGGCACCGTCCCCAAAGATATAGAATAATAGTTATAAATGCGTTTTGTAAATTTAGAATAATGGTTCTTACATAGTTGTAATAGCATCCTCGTTCTTGTCCCCGTCCCCAAACTAACTCAATTTTAGAAT